AGAAATACAAGGAATAGAAATTGTTAAAGAAGAAGTTAAACTGTCACTATTTGCAGATGACATGATATTGTACTTAAAAAACCCTAAAGACTCCACTCCAAAACTACTAGAACTGATATCAGAATACAGCAAAGTTGCAGGATACAAAATTAACACACAGAAATCTGTGGCTTTCCTATACACTGACAATGAACCAATAGAAAGAGAAATCAGGAAAACAATTCCATTCACAATTGATTCAAAAAGAATAAAATACCTAGGAATAAACCTAACCAAGAAAGTGAAAGAGCTATACCCTGAAAACTATAAGACACCCTTTAGAGAAATTAAAGAGGACACTAACAAATGGAAACTGATCCCATGCTCTTGGCTAGGAAGAATTAATATAATCAAAATGGCTATCCTTCCCAAAGCAATATACAGATTTGATGCAATCCCTATCAAATTACCAACAGCATTCTTCAATGAACTGGAACAAATAGTTCAAAAATTCGTATGGAAACACCAAAGACCCCGAGTAGCCAAAGCAATACTGAAAAAGAAGCATAAAGTGGGGGGCATCTCACTCCCCAACTTCAAGCTCTACTACAAAGCCATAGTAATCAAGACAATTTGGTACTAGCACAAGAACAGAGAGCCACAGACCAGTGGAACAGATTAGAGACTCCAGACATTAACTCAAACATATGGTCAATTAATGTATGATAAAGGAGCCATGGACATACAATGGGGAAATGACAGTCTCTTCAACAGATGGTGCTGGCAAAACTGGACAGCTACATGTAAGAGAATGAAACTGGACCAATGTCTAACCCCATACACAAAAGTTAACTCCAAATGGATCAAAGACCTGAATGTAAGTCATGAAACCATAAAACTCTTAGAAAAAAAAACAAAGGCAAAAATCTCATGGACATAAACATGAGTGACTTATTCATGAACATATCTCCCCGGGCAAGGGAAACAAAGGCAAAAATGAACAAGTGGGACTATATCAAGCTGTAAAGCTTCTGTACAGCAAAGGACACCATCAATAGAACAAAAAGGTATCCTACAGTATGGCTGTAGGATATTCATAAATGACAGATCTGATAAAGGGTTGACATCCAAAATATATAAAGAGCCCACATGCCTCAACAAACAAAAAGCAAATAATCCAATTAAAAAATGGGCAGAGGAGTTGAATAGACAGTTTTCTAAAGAAGAAATCCAGATGGGCAACAGGCACATGAAAAGATGCTCCACATCACTAATCATCAGAGAAATGCAAATTAAAACCACAATGAGATATCACCTCACACCAGTAAGGATCGCTATCATCAAAAAGACAAACAAGAACAAATGTTGGCGAGGTTGTGGAGAAAGGGGAACCCTCCTACACTGCTGGTGGGAATGTAAATTAGTTCAACCTTTGTGGAAAGCAGTATGGAGGTTCCTCAAGAAGCTCAAAATAGACTTACCATTTGACCCAGGATTTCCACTCCTAGGAATGGAGCACTCCAGTTTGAAAGAGACAGGTGCACCCCTATGTTTATCGCAGCACTATTTACAATAGCCAAGAAATGGAAGCAACCTAAGTGTCCATCAGAGATGAATGGATAAAGAAGATGTGGTACATATGCACAGTGGAATATTATTCAGCCATAAGAAGAAAACAAATCCTACAATTGCAACAACATGGATGGAGCTAGAGGGTATTATGCTCAGTGAAATAAGCCAAGCAGAGAAAGACAAGTACCAAATGATTTCACTCATCTGTGGTTATAAGAATAAAGGAAAAACTGTATGAACAAAACAGCAGCAGAATCACAGAACCCAAGAATGGACTAACATTTACCAAAGGGAAAGAGACTGGGGAGAATGGGAGGGTAGGGAGGGATAAGGGCAGGGAAGAAGAAAGGGGGTATTATGATTAGCATGTATAATGTGGGGGTTGGGGGAAAGGGGAGGGCTGTGCAACACAGAGAAGACAAGTAGTGATTCTACAACATCTTACTATGTTGATGGACACTGACTGTAATGGGGTTTGTGGGGGGGACTTGGGGTAGGAGAGCCCAGTAAACATAATGTTCTTCATGTAATTGTAGATTAATGATAACAAAAAAAAAAGTATGAAAAAAAGGCTAGGTATAGCTAACGGCACTGTGGTGAAGCACCTATGCTCTGAAGGCAGAGACCCCCACCTAGTCCTGCTGCCTCTTCCTATGGTCCCTTCTGAGCCCTGGTGTCCTCATCTGTAAAATGGGGGTTAGTGATGTCCACCTCATAGGGCACCAAGGGGTTGGGAAGATGAATGATGGATGTAGAGCATTAGCAAGGGTCTGGCCTCCAGCAAGTGCCCAGTAAATGGCAGCTGTTACCAATATGAAACTTGAGGTCTGGCTCTCCACCTCCCAGGAAGAAGCTTGATATTTGGAGCCACTCCTTGCTCCAAGAGAGAACAGATTCTTAGAAGGGCTGCCCTGCTTGAAACCTGGCGTGGTGAGGGCAGGGAGGATCCTTCCTCCCGCTACAGACCCTTGCTTCTCCACAGAGCCTGTTCAGATCCTGTCCAGGCCCTGCCTGCCCCTTACCACAGGCACAGGATGTCTGTTTTGTTTTGGTCTCAGCTGATCAACAAGCGATACTGTGGCTGGCCTGGCCTTTGTGGTTCTTAGGATTACTGCAAGATGCCCTCAGCAATAACCATGAGAAAACTTTGAAAAAATTAAATTTTCTTACTTCTAGGACCTGGAAATTACACAGCACACCTGCAGCACCACACAATGAGGTCACGGAGAGAGAGGCATGCAGACCTAGGGTTCTTCTTTTATTGGGGTTGAGGTTGGAGGCATAAGGTTTCACGAACTCTCTGTTGTGAGTTTAAAACATAAGGGTGGGAATTTTAAGAGTGGGAAGGGGAAAAAAAAGTGCTCCAAATGGTCCACTCTCCACAGCCTTTCCCTATGGGGACTGAAAACACCAGGAATCACTCCAAGGAGATGGGTGGGATGGAATGCCCCACAGAAAGGACAGGGGTTGTAAAATCCACCCTGAGGTTAGGGCAGCGAAGGGATAGGAAGGTTCTTTCAGCCCTAACTTCATGGAAAAATGTATGTGTTAATTTATCACCTTCATTAGAATGAGGTGATACCACCTGCCCCACAGCATCAGGATCTGGGTGTGGTGGTGTGCCCAGCATAGCTGAGTGGGAGGCTTTGAGCTGGGGCCCTAGCTCCATCAGACCCTTGGGAAGGCAGAGTTGGGAGAAGCAGAAGTAGCTTCGCGGCTCCACTCCAGGAGGCTGTTACATGAGTCAGGCAGCTGTGCCAGGTGCTGGGAGACTGGTGGGTCAGTTGCCCCTCAGGGCAGAAGAGCAAGGTCACAAACTGGTGTAGCAATTGGGAGTGGGTTTTAAAGATACTACTTAACCTGTCAAAGATGTGCAGTTCCCCCATGGTACAAAAGCTGGAAACATGGGGTTGCAAATGGTGGGAAAAGGATGCTTCCCATTATGTATCCCATTCCCAGGCCACTTCCCAGCAGTGGGGTGCCAGCCCAGACTCACTGGTACACATGCTCCATTGCCCCTTCAGGCTGCTGGTCAGTGCAGAGAAGAGGAAACAGGTGTCCATTTCCTCCCTCAGCCCACTCTCCTCCGAAGGAAGACTGGTTTGTGGGGCCAAAGCTATGCTGCCTACTCCATGACCCAGAGATCGAGGGTTCCCAAATCCTTTCAGTTGGTTTGTGATGGGGTCATAGTGCACCTCCTCTGAGTATAAACGAAGACTTAATGGCTTTGCCAATAAAGGTTGTGGCCCTTCTTCAACCCTAAGGTCAAGTAGAGGTAGAAGGACCTGGAAGGGGTACAGGAAGGGGTGCTGCCCCTCTCCTACTACTCTCCAAGAGTTAGTACTCCTCCAGAGAATCTAACTGGCTTTTCCTGTGGGGGTCCCTGCTCCCTAGGGGAGAACAAAAACCCAGAAATAGGAAAGGGGGTCAAGATAAATTTGGCAATTTTCTGATGTCACTTAAAAACACTGGTTCCATTTCAATCACCAAATTCTGATGAGGTCTGTAAACAATACCCTCTCCAGACTACCCTCTCTGGGTCCAGGGAGGCACCTTCACTGATGTTTCAGCCCCACCCTGGGCATTTCCCTGTTTGGGTATTGAGAGCTCACACCCCCATGCTGTTCTTCTCATCCTCTTTGGGGCTGGGCTCCTCCTGAGTCTTCTTCATCTCCCAGCCCCTAACCCAGGTGTAGGCAGAGGAGCCCCCAAGCACCATCATGTTGCTTGTCCACCAGAGGAAGCTCTTGGTTTCCTCGTAGTAGAGTACAGCCAGCACTGTCTGGGCACAGGCTTTGGCTGTCCCGGATACATTGTGGGTCAGAGGACTGGTGAACTTGATCTGCAGTCCTGTCACGTAGCCGATGGCGAAGCCAAACAGGCCGCCCAGCGTCATCATCCCCCAGAAGTGGCCACTGCCCAGCTGGGGAAAGTCAGAGAGAGCCTGAAGCTCCCCCAGCAGCAGGAGCAGGGGCAGGAAGAGGACACAGGCATTGATGTTGTTGTAGAAGGTCAGGCGCCAGATGCTGCCATCCACTGCTGGGAGCACTTTCTTGGTGTAAATGGCATTGAGTGACACACAGAGGCTGGCTAACACGCCAAAGAAGGTGCCCATCCAAGACAGGGTACCTTCTGCCCCCTCCTGGTCCACACCAAGCCAGAAGCCACCTGTAGGGGGAACAAGAAGAGAAGGGGAAAGCAGAGTGAAGACAGGGAAGAAGGACAGAGAATTTTGCCACCGAAGCTCACAGACTCTTTTAACGCTGCCCTCACTATTCCATCCTCCCTCCCCTCCCCATAATAAACACATCCAAAGTCTCTACTAGAGGTAAAGTGTCAAACAAGGTCTGGGGAATTGGCCCCAGGACATTAACCCTTTCTCACAGAGCTTACATTCTAGTAGAGGAGAGAGAAAATGATTTCTTTCCCAATTAATTCCTTAATTATAATTGTAATGAGGTCCATCAAACAGTAGAGCATTCTAAGAGAACCTACACTGGGTGACTGTGCTGGCCTGGGGCATCTGGAAAGTAGCATTTGAAATGAGTTCTAAAGGATGAGTGCTTAGTGGTTAAGGTGACTTCGGGCAAGTGACCTAAGGTCTCAGAGCCTTGGCTTCCTGTCTGCAAATTGGGAACTTACAAAGAGTTACAATCACTGTGGCCAGTTGTTCTTTCTGTGACTCTTATCCTGTGTAACCTCCTGCTCACAGAACCTCCATGGCCTCCCACTGCTTACCATTAAGTCTACACTCCCTTGCCAGCCTGGTCTCTGTCCCATGATTGCCCGGGAGCCTCTGTCTCTCACTTCCCTGCTTCTCACACTGGGGCTCAGTGTCCTTGTTTGTTTTCTGCACTAGAAACACTCTCTTCCTTTCTGGGAGAGTCTACTCCTTCTTTAAGGTCAAAGCTGGCTTCTCCAGGGAGGAAGCCTTTCCTTCAAGACCCCTTTGTCTGCCCTGGGCTGCTAGGTACCTGCCCATGGGACAGTACAGTCTCTTCAGCTAGACCCCACCTTCCCAGAAGGCAGGGGCTGAATCTTACATGTTTTGTATTCCTCCCGACCCTGGCCCCACAGCATCCAGCAATATGGGGGAGTAGGAAAAGTTTTGGTGTCAGAGAGATTTGGGTTCCAATCAGGCTCTGCTATTTAGAGGCTGGGTGGCCTCGGAAAAGTATACTTAACTTCTCTGAGTTTCCATTTCCTTCATCTGTAGAGATCTGGGTCACTTCCCCTGAACTTCAACCAATCTACTCTCCACCTTGTAACCAGAATGATCTTCCTAAAGTACAGATCTGCTCATATCCTGTCTCTGCTTAAATCTCCTCCATGCCTCCTAGCTGCTCTCAGGAAATATTCCAGACTTACTTATTATGAATTTAAATATTCCTGAAATATTCCAGCCTTATTTAACTTAGGCAGCCTCATGTCTGGTGACCATTCTCTGGCTCAGCCATGAAGAATGCACATATTCTTTCTTCTGCTTAAAACATGCTCTCCTCTCTCCTTCCTTACTCCCATCTAGTACTTCCTCCAGTAGGCCTGCTTAGATTCCTTGCTCCCTGCCCCGCCAGGGTTCCCACAATGCTTTCCTTGTCCAAACACTGGAGGCAGGCTCACCCCTCCAGCATAACTCAGTTACTGCCACGCATAATCACCATGCCTCTAGGAGCACAGGAAATGGGTCTACCTATTCCAAATTTGTATTACCAAAGATTGGCACAGTCTCTGGCACATGCTTGGCCATCTGTTAGTATCTATGGAATGTATGAATGAATGAATGCATGAATGGAGCTTGCTCTGCACGTGGTGGAGAGGACTACAGAAGCCAAGCCACCTCCTGAGCCACAGGCACATACTCACAGCCCAGCTCTGAGGGCATGGGGGGCTTAGCCAGAGCACCCTCAGCCTTCCTGCTGGTTGCCTTCTGATTGCAGAAGGGACTGCCACTGCAAGGGTCCAGACCCCAGAGGGACTCTCAGCCAGAAGGAGCTTTGAAAGGTACTGTGCAACCTGGGAGTCACCTGAGACCCAGCTTCCCCCACAAGGAGGGAGGAAGGGGAGACAGTGCAGAGACGGGCCAGGTCCTGGGCCATCAGAGAGCACCCGCCTCTCTGGCCCCTGCCCTGTAGGCCAGCCAGTGAATGCATTTCCTCAGAAGCTCTCTCATCACCAGCTATTTGGATTACCTTGTGACTTGGGCCTAGTTTCCCTAGTGACTTTATTTTCTGCATACAAATTCTCCCAGCAAGGGCCCCTCATCTCTGTGCTCCTGACAGGGTCAGCAGGACTGAAGTGGAGAGCCCTGTCAGGGGTCTTAGCAGCTCCTCCTATGCTAACTTCCACCTTTCTCCCCTCTCTCATCTGGGCCTTAGACTTAACAGCCTTAGATGGAGCAGCTTCTCCATGAGGAGAACATTTTCTAGGACAGGTGGCCTGGGATGGGCTCCTCCCCGACAACCAGTGCAACTTGGCCTGAGACTCTGAGACATCAGTAAAGAATATGTAGGTCAACCAAGACCGAACTTTACAGCACCACAAAAACCTGAACAGCTTCAAAGAAAGATGACATTCCTGGATGCCAGCCCCAGGAGGACTCTGAGGGAGTGGGATGCTGGGAGCACTTTCACCCAGCATGTCACAATCAAACATTTTGGGGTAATGGAAATGTTCTATAATCTGTGCTCCAATACAGTAGCCACAGGCCCCATGTAGCTACTGAGCACTTGAAATGTGGCTATAGAATCAGGGTACATAACCTGCAACTGGGGAACTGAGTTTTAAAAATGGCATTGAATTTGAATTAATTTAAACTGAGAGACACACATGTGGTCAGTGGCTACCATTTTGGATAGTGCAGATCCAGTCTCCAGGAGACAAGAACAGAGCAGAATGGTTGGAGCATAAGCCCAGGGGTCTGGTCAATCTGGGTTAGCATCCCAGCCCTGCTACCTCCTAGCTATGTGGCCCTGAACAAGTAACTTAACCTCTCTGAGCCTCAGTTTCCTTGTTTGTATGGAGTCGATCATGGTGATGCTACCACCCAGGGATCTCTGGGATACAAAGGAGCTGTTATATGTGAATGATTTGCATAATGTCCCCATCAATAATTTTTATTTTCTGAGGTCAAGTCTGGTCGAGCTAAGACCTCTCAAAACATCTCTTGCCACTGTCTCAGACATTACTGTGAGTCTGCCAGGTCAAGGGATAATGGTTTATTTACTAAAAGATGCACTGCATCTGTAGGAAGAATACTAGAGTCAGGACAGCTGAGCTCTTGAGAAGCAATAGACTACATCAAGTTTATAGAGCCAAAAGAGTGTATCAAACTTATGGAGCCAGTTTATGATTTCAAGTGAGATTGCTTGAGATCAGATCCCAGCTCTGACATTTATTAGCTGTGTGACCTTTGACAAATTACTGATCTTCTCTGTGCCTTGGTTTTCCCTCTGTGAAATATAGATTATAATCCCATTTTGTTATGAGGGGCCCTGGCTGGGCCCCCAACTTGCTGGGTGACTTTAAGAAAGTTACTTGTTCTCTCCCCAGGCTCCTCCTCATCTGACCATTTTCAGCAAGAGAGCTGGGTCAGATAGAGACCAAAAATGCTTAGCAGGGATGTTTTTTAGGGTTTTGGTCCCCATACATTCCCTCCCCTGTAGCCCCAGCCAGCCACTCACCAATGATGAAGCCACAGGTAAGCAGGGCATAGAGGGAGGTGGTCTGCTTGAGCAGCATGTAGGACAGCAGCACATTGAAGACGGTGGTGAGCGAGCGGCCCACGTTGTAGAAGGCCACCCCCACATACTTGAGGCACAGGTTATTGAAGGTGATCATGCCAATGAAGACAACTGACAGGGGCAGGATGCTGCAGGCCACCCTGAGGTCCAGGCGCAGGGTGGGGAAGTCCACGGCCCCAGGGCAGCAGGACGCCAGGATGCTGAGGCCCTTGCACAGCACTGTGGTCACCAGGCACTGGTAGAAGGTGATGAAGATGGGGGTGTCCAGCTGTAGGGAGGGGCTGTCCAGCAGGTACTTGTTAAGGAACACCATGGAGATGGAGGTGACCCAGTAGAGTGAGACCACCAGTGTGATCTGCAATGCCTGCAGCAGAAAGGGTTTCTCCTTGCTGGCCTCTGCCTCTCCAGAGGGATCAGAAGTCCCCATCAGTGCCATGTGCAGGATCCTGGAGCGCTTCAGAGGGGCCCTGTTCATAGTAGCAAAGGAGCTGGGTCACCCTACAGCCAGAACTGATTTCCTGGAGTATGGAGTAGTGAGCTTACTTCTGCTTTCTGCAAGCCACAGCTTTCAACTGTCACATGGTAGTGGTGGTGGTGGTGGTAGTTGGGGGTAGCGGCCTACACACTGTCCTCTTGGTGGAGAGGTTCTGCTTTGGGGTGAGCCCTATAACCTGTTCCCACCCTGAGGGGGTTGAGGAATAAGCTAAGGCTGGACAGAGATAACCTGTCAGGGGAAATGGGTCTTGGGTCTGGTAGGGAAGGAGGAGAGACGAATGCAGGAGGAAGGTACTAGAAAAGGTCAGGGGACAGCGTGGGGAACGGGTGCACAGAAAGGGAGGCAAGGGATCCAAAGGAAGAATGGGTTTTGAAGGGAGAGGGGAGACATGCAGGGAGCTGAAGGGAGAGAGAGCAGCCTGGAAAGAGGGCCTGGAAAGAGGGTGCTAGGGAGGTCAGAGGTGATCAGGGCGGGGGTTTGAAGGACGCGGGACCAGGCCGGGCGGGCGCAAGCCCACAGGGCGTGACCTTCCCCGGCGTCAGCTCTTGCTCAGCTTCGGAGCCTCCGGACAGCTGACACGGATTCCCCAGGGCGAGGCGGGCCTACGACTCATTTCCTGACACGCCCCCGTCATCCTCAAAGAGCCCGTACGTCCGGCGTCACCCTTAAAGACACAGCCCCGGAGAAACGGCCTTTTGGGGTCAGGCTTGCGTGGGATCCCGGGAGTTTCCTAGACCTTGTGCGCTCCTTGCCCGCTGATGGTGGGGGGATCTCGGCAGCTGCAGAAGGTTCCTGTGGGTGCTCAAGCCTTCCTCTCCCCAGTTGCGTCTCCTCTGGACTCCCCCCGACTCGGCTCTTCCACAGGTCCACCCCTCCTCCCTATTTCCGGCCGGACCGCACCGCGTTCCCCTGCGTCTGGGGACCCCATCACCAGCCCCGCGTCCCAGCTTACTCTTCCAAAACAGCTCCCTTCTCCCCTTTCCCTCTCCCCACCCCGCTATCGCCGCCCGCATCCTCCTCCCAAGCCCAAGACCACTAGCAGCGCTCCCAGAGGCCGGAGGCCACATAACCCCTTCCGGACCTCAATTTGTCCGCCCGGTCATCCTACTAGAGACCCTACTGGTGGCCACCAATCCTCAGCGCAAACACACCCCCTATCTCGGGCACCCTCAGCATTTCAGAAAACCGCCTCCCCACGCCGGGTCCAGCTGCACGCTCCGGCCCCGGGCAGGTGTTCCCGGACCACGAAGGCGACCCCTCGCTCACCTCTGCACTGGCTGCCTGCTCAGGCCACTGTGCTTGGCACCTGCAGCGTTGCGCCCAGGGACAAGCCCGCGGGAGACGACTTCCTGCTCCCAGCCCTGGGCGTGGGCGCTGTGCCAGACTCTCCTGCCTGACTTTGGCCCCGGGTTGTCCAGCCGGACTTGGGAGCAAGCCCCTTCCTCTTACAACGTCACCCCAGACGCCGGTACCCCGTCCCGTCGAGGACCCCCATCCAAGTTACCGCAGCCTACACGTCCCGGGACCAGGCCGCATCCCTGGGCTGTAGCTCTCCCCAAGCCTGCGCTTCTGAAGTACGCGGGGGGACCGCCCAGATTCTTCTGCCGGCAGGGAGTGGAGGGTCCTTTGTCCCCTCCCAGGAACCAGCCCTCTCCTTAACATACCAGGCAGCCACAAGGGCCAGCTTCTCCCAGTTTCCCGCTCTAGCACCATCGTCAGTGGCCTGCTCCTGAGTTCTCTCCATTGTGGGAATATACCGGTGGGTCTCAACCCATTCTCCAAGTAGGGTGCAGATGACCAGCTCAGTCCCTTTAAGTTTTTCCTTCCCCAAAGGGTAAGGAATATACCGGTGGGTCTCAGCCTCCTTGGTCAGAGCTCTAGCTGGTATGGCTGAAGTAGGAACTACCATCTGTTTGTTATATTTCAAACATATATTTCAAAAGTTCATTTAATTAGTACCATTTAATTTACAGGTGCGAGTGTTACCAGACACTCTCCCCACCCCGCAAAGACCAGGTTCTTGAGTGTCAGTGTTAAAGAAATGAACACTGAACTGCAAAGGAAAAAGCAGGCAAAATTTATTAGAGAGAGCTCGTACAAGGGAGCCCACAGATAGAAGTCAGGCTTAATGGAAAGGAGATGGAGGGTTTTTAATAATGACAGTGTTTGGAGGTCCAGGGGTGCCAAGGTATGGCGATGATTGATCTTTCTTATTGATTTCATGCCTGTTATGTCTCTAGATGAGGCACTACTTTGACGTTTAACACACGTCAGTTTCTAATTTCACAGCCTGTTAGTCAAAAGATTTATTTGATGCCCTAGAGCAGAGGCTTTCAGAAAACAGAATATTAATAATAAATCATCACAGGTCAAATTAACCTAAAACTTGTGCTTGATCAAGTGCTATTTGCTGTCACAGGTCAAGTGACCTGAAACTTGTGCTTGAACAGGTGCTATTCTAAGAATGTGTTTTCAATTTAGGAACATGTTGGAAGATGGAGGCTCATTCCAAAATGGAGTCCCTCTTGTTCAATCTCTGCCTGCTTCAAGATGTCTGAGATTTGCTTGCAAATATGTATACACACACACAAAATTCAGGGATAGGCAAAAATAGAATGGGCAAAATATTGAAAATTGTTGAAGTAGGCTTAAGCACATGGGGGTTATAGGAGTCTTCTTACTTTTGCATATATTGGAAAATATCCGTGGTAAAACCTTTGACATACATTTAAAGTCTCACATGCTAACTGCATAAAACATTGTCCGAGCTTAACACAGCCCTTGGTGGGCTTTCTGGACTTGTGTTACAGGGAAATAAGCACTGCCTCCAGGCCCGATTGTCTTCCACTAGTCCTCTGGCCCCTGATTTGCGGTACCTGCACTCCTCCTTCCTCCAGAGATTGAACTTCCTGCTTCCTGGTTATGGGCTGGTCTTCAAGCAGAGGATGCCCTCTGGTCACCTTGTCATCTGTGGGATCAAATGACCCTTTGGGGAAGGAAAAACTTAAAGGGACTGAGCTGCCTTCCAAGAACCTTAGACATGAGTTCAAGCAACAGTGAATTGCCCAGTAAAGCACTGTTTCAATCAGGACTATGGTTGCCTGTGAAAAATAGAATACCTATATATATATACTGTATATAGGCCAGAGCCTATATACAGTACATATGTATACTCACTGAGAGAGACCAGGAGCAGTCCATGCTGGTATATGGGGCATAGTCTGGGCTCTCCATGGACCAGGAGAGCAAATATCCTGTCTTCAGTTTTTCTCCTTACATTGTATCTGGAATTCCACCATTAGCATCATTCCCTTGCTTTAGGGATGTAATAGGCCAGTGCAGTATGTTTCCCAGACTCCAATCCTTTTTGTTCCTTATGGGGTAAAGAGGAGGTGGGGGGATGTTTCTTAGGAGTCTAAGGCCTCAGGAGTTATCCACTTTGCACAAACTGTTTGCTTTTGAGTTTTCCTTAAGAAATAGCTATTGTTTAAACCATTTTTAAAGGGTGAAGTTTTAGGTCTTGTCAAGAATGAATTTAATGTGAGGTGGAACATAGGTGTGAATTTAATGTGAGATGGAACATAAGGTCATCAATGCGGCAGGTGGAAGGCTGTAATAAGCCAGGGAGTGGGGCTGTTTATGGGGTCCTATTTTTGCCTTGGCTTGGAGCCACAAGTGATATCAGAAAAAGACAGTTTCTACCACATGGGGTGAACAGAACTAACCTCCCAGGTATAGAAGACAGTGGCTCTGTACCAGTAGGGCCTGAGAGTTCCCAGGAGCACACAGATGGCAACTATCTCAGCCCCAAGTTCAACAAGGACTGATAAGCCTCTTCTATGTAGTGGACACTACTAATTGTCTACCAACATACAGTCTCCCATTTGTCCAAAATAATTGGATGTAGCTAGTCACATGGACATCTAGCCAGAGACTAATTTCCTAACTTCCCTTGTGGATAGGTGAACCATATGACTTGGTGGATGGTAAAGGGAGGTGATGCGTGCTGCTTTCCAGATCTGGGCTTAGAGCTTTAGGCATGCACTCCTCCATCCTTTCTCCTCTTCCCATAACCATGACATGCAGATGAGGCCAGTGTCTTAGGGACTGTGGTAGCAATATGATGGAAAGAGGCAGGGTCCTTGATTGTATGGAGCAGAGCTATTTGCCAACATGGACTGCCTACCTTGAGACTGTTATATGAGAGAGAAATCAACTTATGCTTTTTCTGTACATATGCAGTTATAAAGGGATTGCTTTGTTATCACAGATAGACTTTTACCCACATACTCACTATAGTCTATAGTCCCTTCTGCTTACATACATTTTCTCTCGGCAAAATTGAGAAGGCACGACATAATTCTGATCTCTGTCTCTCTCTCTCTTGCTTTCTCTCTCTCAGTTTATTATCTATCCATCCATCCTTTCTGTCCTTATCCAGGACCTAGCACAATGCCTGCCATAGTTGATTTTCAGTATCTATTTGCAGAATGAATGGGAGTCAGATCATTGGTAGGAGTGCTTGAAAGTCAAGGCTGATTTAAGACCTTTATTGGTTCTAAGCCCTGAAAAGTTTATAAGTCTCCTCATTTACCCCATATGTAATTCAAAATAAAAAGTAATACTAAACAGTCAAATAAATGTAAGCAGAACAAAAAATGTTCTGATTTCTCTCATGAGGTTTGTTCTTTTGAAAGTAATACATTCTTTCCAGAAAAAAAATTATGTCTTTCCTTTGCTGGTTCTTGTGGCAGATACTACTAATCATCTACCCCAGAAGTTGGCTAGCTTTTTCTGTAAAGGACCAGAGAGTAAATATTTTACATCCCATGGGCCATATGGTCTATCGCAACTACTGAACACTGCTATTGTAATGTTGTAAACAAATGGATGCAACTGTGTTTCAATAAAAGTTTATTTATAAAGACAGGCCCTCAACTGGATTTGGTTCACTGGTTATAGTTCACTGGCTCCTGATTTATTCTTTGTTAATTTATCCTTCTTCCTTATTAGCATCACCTGTATTTTGTTTGTATGTTTATGTGTTGACTTAAAAATATTCTCCAGACTCCCTTGCAGCTAAATGTGATCTTGTGACATACTTTTGGCTAATGAGTCATAAGCTGAGGATTTGGGGGGAAGCTTTTGCTTTTTTGATATAGTTACAGTCTTCGTTGATGCTTTTTCTTACATGTTCTTTAATGCAGGTCTTTAATGCACATTTGAGGTCTGGAAGGGCAGCAGACATCTTGAAACCACAAGACAAAAGATACGAAGAGGAAAGCTAAGGATGGCAGAGTGGAAGCCTGGAGAGAGCCTGGGTCATTTAGAGCTTGGATGAGTTGCCCTCCAGATCTGGACTTCTACTCTTCAGCATAGAGGATGGATGTGTAAGCTATTACAGCATGGTATTCTATTTTTCACAGGCACCCATACTCCTGATTGAAACAGTGCTTTACTGGGCAATTCACTGTTGCTTGAACTCATGTCTAAGGTTCTTGGAAGGCATGGGATTGGCTGGCCGTGGGTCTGAGGCATCAGTGCAAGGGATACAATTATCACAGAGTGAACCCAAGCTGTAGAGTTGAAAGTGGGGTGGAGAATTCCAAAGTCAAGTCCCATTTGCCAGACAAGATATGGGAGTGGGAGAGCCAATGTCGGGATGGGCAAATCCCCAAAGCAGAGGATTCATGGCTAGGGATGAGGGCCTGTTAACAAAAAGAAGTCCAACATAGGGGAGGAGTTCTTCAGGTAAGTGTGGGAAAGCTGCAGAGGGTTAGTCAAGAGTGGGCTCCTCATCAGCAGCATCTCCCAGAGACATTGCCTTCATTTCTTGGGCTGACATCTAGCAGGTAAGCACCTAGTTTTGGACGGTGCACACTATTTTTTTTTTTTTTAGATCTAGAATAGCCAAGCCCCTGTAATATGCATCTGGGTAATCTCCCAGCAGGAATGATGTCTCCTTCAGATTAGGAGCTAATCTGTGTGGAGTAACTGTCAGTCCCTCATGATGGGAGTGTTTACTAACAGCTAACACTATTGGAGGGAGGCTTCATGCTGTATATTTTATATCCAACTTGTCAGTCTTCACAACAATTCTCTGGGGGACAGTCTGACCTTACAGTCCCTATATTATAGATGAGGACATTGAGGCCCTAGAGATGATGAGTCCAAGGCCACTGGCGAAGAGGCCAGTTTGATCTCTGAGCTGCTGCAGGAGAGCAGTTAGGCAGAAAGACAGAAATGAGCAGGATGAAAAGGAGAAAGGGTCCTCCCAAAGAAGACTCAGGGAGTTGATCAAATAGAACCAGAAAGCCAGAAATGCCCCAAAGAGTTAATCAGATGAAGCCATAGGGTCCAAAAGTGACTCAGGAAATATCCAGGGTCCCCCAGATAAGAAATATCAGCGGGACAAGCACAGTACAGCCCCTGTCCCCATTTCACCAATCAGAACAAGACTAGAGAGCTGACCGCTGTCAGTCAAGTACCTCTCTTCCCTGTCGAAACCACATAAAAGAAGCCTCAGAATGAGCATCAATGCCTGCCTGTCTTATCTTAGGCAGGCCCACTCTGCTACTCTATGCAGAGTGTATTAAAACTTGCTTTGCTTTCTTGACTTTGGTCTCTTGTCTCACTGTATCTGACTTCCCTGTGACATGGAGCCAAGTCCTTTCCTTCCCAACAAGCTCATTTCTGAGCCTGGTTTTCAGGCTGGTCTCCCAGGCCCCTGGGTCCATGGAGTGACACTGCATTGCTGCCTCTGTCCTGTTGTTGAGCATAGATGTATATGATATACACCCAGAGCTGCACAGTCTTGGTCTCCAGGAAACTCTCTGCGCTGACACATGAGAGCCCTTTGACTGGTCCACTTTCTGATCTTTTTCTGTAGATTTTTTACCCATCAGTTTTTTATTACCCCTAAACTGTAAGCTCTCTGGTGGCAGAGAACATGTCTGGGGATGTAGTAGCTAGTAGTTACTGGGCACTTGCTATGTGCCATGCACTGGCCTCAGTGCTGCATGAATTACCTCCTCTTATCATGATAGTGCTATGAGATAGGCATTCTTATGATCCCATTTTATGGCAGAGAAAACTTAAGGTCCAGAGAGATAAAATAACCTACCTAAGGTTAAAGGGGCTTGTGAGTGGCTGAGCTGGGATTTGAACCCAGGCTCACTGACTGACTCACTTAGCTATTAATATTACACTGCCTCTCCTCGTGTGTATAGCACTTTGAGGTTTACAAAGCATTTCCACATACACTTAAAAAACAGTTCTCAGAACATCAGTGCTTCAAAGTACCTTAGAGAATGTCTTTTCCAAACTCTTCTCATTACGGACAAGGAAATAGGTTCAGAGAGGGGATGTGATATGTTCAGGGTTACACAGTTTATGAAAGGGTGAAACCAGATAGGAACTCCACTCTCCTAACTGCTTACACCCGCCAGACTTCAAGCTCCCTCCCTCGACTGTGAGGTCTGTGAGCCAAGGGGCTGTGCCCTAGGCATCTGTGGGCCTTCGGCACCTAGCATAGCACCTTGCACAGAGTAGATGCTCAGGAAATGTGCGTTAAGGGAATGCGAGTCTGGTGCTTGTATTATTATTAGACACACTATTTCATTCTAGTAGTATTTAGTATCCCTCATGGCATGACATGTGACTGCGTGGCACATGGTAATTCTACTGGGCTGAATGGTGCCCCTCCCCTCAAGTTAATCTCCAGAACCTCAGAGTGTGACCTTATTTGGAAATAGAGTTTTTGCAGATGTAATTAGTTAAGTTAAAATGAGTTCACTGGATTATGATGGAACCTAAATCCTATGACTGGTGTCGTTATCAGGAGGGAGATTTGGAGACACAGATGACACATGGGGAGGAGCTCCATTGGAAATGGAAGTAGAGGGTGGAGTGAGGCAGCTACAAGTCCAGGAGCTCCATGGGTTGCTGGAAAACACCAGAAGCTAGGAGAGAAGGAACCAATTCTCCCTCAGAGCCTTCAGAAGGAAGAACTCTTTTAACAGCTTGATTTCGGGCTCCTGGCCTCCTGAACTGTGAGAGAATAAATTTCTGTTGTTTGAGATACTCACTAATATAATAGGTCTGTGGAAAACAAACCCCAAAACTGCTGCTTGACTGATAAATCCCAGGGGGACTGTGAGACCAATAGCTTTTCCTCAGTCTTGGCTGGAGATGAAGGAGGAGTTCCAGTAGTTTATCTAATATTTAATCCCCTCGGTGATGGTGCAATTCTGCTGCAGACATGGAGGCATGGTGGGATGCTCCCCAGACCTCTAGCTCTTGGCCTGGTGACTATACTCTTGAGACTTTGGGTAATCTGTCTACCTTTCTGGACGTTAGTTTTCCCATCAGTGAAATGGGAGGGGAATCAGGCTTGATGGTCCCTAAAGTAAGCTTCTGATTCTCATCCTGGCTGGTATGTGGAGTGGCAGGGGAGAACTGGTTGATACAAAATTGAATTTATTGGCTCATGTTTCTAAGAAGTCCGGGGTGGTGTGTGTCAGGGGGAGATGCTCACTTTAGGTGCAGCTTGACTCTGTAGTGTGGACAGTGTCATCAAACACATCCTATTCTTGGCTCTTTTCCAAGTCTTTGCTTTGTTTTCAGGCACTGTGTAATGGCAAAATGGCTTCAGGCATTCCAGACCTTATACCATTCAGGTTATTACTTTTTTTTTTTTAGGTTATATATTTTTAGAGTAGTTTTAGGTTCACAGCAAAATGGAGCAAAAGGTACAGAGATTTCCCATAACCCCTCTGCTCCCACACATGCATAGCCTCCCTAACTACCAACATCCCCTGGCAGAGTGGAACATTTTTGGAATTTATCAGCCTACACCGACACATTGTTACTACCCAGAGTCCATAGTTTACATTAGGGTTCACTGTTTGTGTTGTAGCTTCTATGGGTTTGACAAATATATACAGGATGACATGTATCCACTATTATAGTATCATACAGAGTCATTTCACTGCCCTAAAACACCATTCAGGTTTAAGTCTGGTGGGGAAAAAATTACTGTTTCTCAGAAGCCTAACCTCTGGCTTAATCCTTGCATCGCAAGTTGAACCCCTGGGCCCAGACAGGTGGTATGAGAGTAGAGAAGGGGTGGCGCCAGAAATGAAAATTAAGAGGTGTTGCCAGAAGAAGGAATGGATGCTGGACAGCCCTGCTAGGAGGGGCCTGTGTTGGATGGGCAGAGGGTATCTGGAAGACTGCACAGTCTCTTCCCCTCTTCCTTTGCTCATGTAGTTCCACTTTGTTCAGTGCTCCCCCACATTCACCCCTAAACGCGGCTAACTTTCTGTCCTTTAAGACTCAGGGCAGGAATCACTTCCTTAGGGAGACCCTCCGGTTAGGCTAGGTCTCCCTGATGTGCACTCCTGCTCTTTCCCTGTGTGGATGAAATGTGAAGAGAGTGTGCACAGGAGGCATCTTTTCCCTTTTTGGGTAAGAATATCCCCAACTCCTTTTGGAATTGCCCCTTCTGAGCTGTTGCAGCTGTTGGGGCCCATCAATCTATGTGCTTGAGTTTCTCTAGCCAAAGGGGTGGGCACATGAGACAGGCCAGGCCAGTGAGCACACTGCTTGCTTTTTCTTTCTCTGAATTGAAATCTGGGGTAGAAACAACCACCACCACCCCTACCAAACCTAAAATTAGTTACAGCTGACTCACTGTGGCAGGAACACCCAGAAAACCTATTTACCATTTTCTGCCCCTGAGACCCTCAGAGCTGCCTGGCTTGCTTGTCCTTCCGTCTTGTTCTTCAGGTTTTTCATTGGTTCTGGGAGCAACCCTGGACTCTACCAATGACCTCTTTTTTGCATAAGTAGGCTGGAGTCTATATCTGTTGCTTGCCATCAGAGAACCCTAGAATGCTACTGTGGGCATTTCCTTCTGACCAAGAAGAGGGATCAGGGCAGGAACTGGCCAGCTCCAGTAAATGGATTTAACTAGACTTCTCCCCAGGTGCTGGGGTTCTAAGAGCAGGGTGGGAAACAGGAAAAGATTGGGGCAGCAGGAAGTATAGACCAGGATGTGTAAATACTGGTATGTTTGCAGAAGGGCTGCCAGTGGGTAAATGCAGGTCAAGGTTGTCTTTTACCTCTGGGTCTTTGCTGTAAACCTGCTAGGTGGGGCATAGTGGTGGTGAGGCGGGCTGGTGTGGATACCTGGGCATTTGAAATTGGTTTAATTTAACAAACATCTTCTGAAAGCTCTTTCTGCATGATCTTCCTCTCTGACCCATCCCCTCTGCAGGGTTCATTGTTCAGTTCTTATGACTTATGGGGTTTATGCCTTATGTTGGCATGCTGATAGCATAATTGGGGCCATTAATGCAATCAAACCTATCCTGGACACTACAGTGTAACTGGTTACTTCTCTCTCTCTAACTAGACCCTCTCCTGTTCATCACTGTGTCCCTGGTGCCTAGCACAGGGCTTGGCACATAGTAGGTATTCAGTAAAGGTTTGTTGACTGAATGAATGCAGAGGTGGACTGTAGAGCTGTTACTGGTATGCTGGGGAGCCAACTGGCTTGCTGACTTCCTGTAAGAGACATCCCAATCTTAAGTCAGCATGCGCTGAATTTGGGTTTCGACTTTGCAACTCAGTCAAACTCCAATCTGGACTTCAGCCTTTGGAAGGTGAAATAGTTGAATGCCTGTTTTACTGTCATTCCTGACATATCTGATACTGTGCATGATCAATGATTCTGTGAGTAGGAGAGGGACATCACAGTTTACTAATATGATTACCCCAGGAATACAAATAAGGCAGGTCATTTGAATTTATTATTAATATTTGAACATTTTCAAACATAGGTGAGCATTTTAGAAGTAACTAAAACTGAAAACTATTCTTTTGTGCCTTATATTTTGAGATTATTTCAGCTGGTATTTACATATATTTATATCTAGGGTAAAATGGTACAATAATTAATGATAATTGAAAGCTATTAACTTTATGTGCAAAATAATTGCTAAGTTTCAATAATTTAAATAAATAGGAAAATTAATAGTTCACATGAATATTAAGAGAGAACGTGTTAGCTAGATAACCTTAGGAAGAACATTTTATTCTTTTGGAACAAATAAATGTTTATACAAATTTAAATAAGAGTACTAGGCAGAATAATAAAGATTAAATTATCTTTTATAATTCCATTTTTCATATAACTGTTTGGCAGAATGGCATTTTTAATATTAAACAAAACAACTTTTAAGCACTGTATTTAAGTTGTAGTTATTTCATTTCATTTAGACTATTATTCATCTTTCAAGAAAATCTCTATTTGGGAATTAAGTAAACCTTATGGGATCAATTAAAAGCAAAATACCTATTTGCCACCTCAAAATTTTACAAGGAAGAAAAATTCTGCTGTCACGTACAACAAAATCCATGATAAATTATCTTCCATTCAGACACGATAAAGCATATAAATAGTATGAAAGAAAAAAGGAAGGTGGTTAAAAGAAAGAGGTATCACCCTTTTTTATAAATACAATTTTATTGATCTACTAACCTCAGTTGAAAAGGAAATAGTAAATGTGAAAAATGTGCAGCATATTAGTGTGGAAGCAATTTAACTGCTGGTGGTAGAGAGGAAGTAGAATTTTTGCACATAATGTCAAATTCCCTTAAAGTTAGGCTTATTGAGGTATGTATCACATACAATTTATCATTTTAGGTGTAAAGTTCTATGAATTTTGACAACTGTGTAACCACTACAGTAATCAAGATAGGGAACAATTCTATAACCCGCTAAAATTCCCTCTGGTCATGAGTGAACTGATTTCTGTCCTATAGTTTAAGTTTTTCCAAAACATCATAGAAATAAAATCATATAGTAAAGAGCCTTTTGTGTCTGACATCTTTCACTTAGTGTAATGCTCTTAAGGTTCACACATGTTGTACTTGTCAGTTTGTTCTTTCATTATGCACCATAATTTACTTATACAGTCATCAGTTGTTGGACTTCTGGGTTGTTTCCAGTTTGGGAAGGAAGACTATGAATAAAACTCCTATAAACATTTGTGTACGGTCTGTGTTGGAGGTCTGTATTCATTTCACTTGGGGAAGTTCCTAGGAGTGGGATCGTTAGGTCTTACAGCAACTACATGTTTAACTTTTTAAGAGACTGGCAATTTGTTTTTCCAAATGGATGTACCTATCAGAAATGTATGAGAGTTCCAGTTGTTCTTTGTCCTCACCACTACTTGGTTTTGTCAGTCTAAACATTTTGTTCTTTCTAATCAATGTGTAGTGATCTCTTACTGTGGTTTTAATTTGCATTCCTCTAATAATGCTTAAATTCCAGCCAATAATGCTGTCTTTTTATGTACCTATGTGCCCTTCATATTTCTTCTTTGGTGAAATGCCTGTTCTCAGGTTTTGCCTGTTTTTTAACTGGCTTGTTATTTTCATTATTGAGTTGTGAGAGTTCTTTATGTATCTAGATAAAAATCCTTTATCATATATATGCTTAAAAATATTTTCTTCCAGTCCTTGGCTTCTCTATACATTCTCTTAACAGTATCTGTAGAAGTGCAGATGTTTTAAGTTTTGATAGTCCAACTTATTACTATTTTCTTTTTTGATTTGTGCTTTTGTACTCTATTCAAAAAAATCTTTGCCTAGCCCAATATCACACATATTTTTTCCTGTTTTCTTTATTATGGTTTAAAATTTTCCATTTAGAGCTATAATCTGTTTTGAGTTACATTGCACCTTTGTTTGAAAAACAATTGACCATGTATGTGGGTTCATTTCAGAACTTTGTTCTGTTCCATTGATTTATATATCTATCCTCTTACCATAAATATAAATAATATAAAAATAATTATGTTTACAATGAATAAATAATATAAAACTTATTTATGTAGCTTTATATTTAGTTTTGTAGTCAGGTACTGTAAGCCCTCCAACTTTATCTTCTTTTTGACTAGTCTAGGTCCTTTGCTTTTCCATATAAATTTTAGAATCAGTTTGCCAATTTCCAAAAAAAACAAACCCTACTGGAGTTTTCTTGAGATTGCATTTAATATATAGATCAGTTTGGGGAGAAGTAACATCTTAACAATTTTAAGTCTTTTGATCCATGAATACCACATGTCTCTCCATTTATTTAGGGTTTTGTCATCTCAATGTTTTGCATTGATTAGCATACACACCTTGCACATATTTTGATAAATTTATCCCTATTTTATGTTCTCTGTTACTATTATAAGCGCTACTTAAAAACTCAATTTTCACTTTATTTCTATGTATAGAATACAATTGATTGTTGTATATTGCTCTGGTATTTTGTAACCTTGCTTAACTCAATAATACATTCTAATAGCTGTTTAGAACAGCTTTATTGAGACATAAATCACACACCATACCATGTACCCACTTAAAGTATACAATTCAATGATTAATATATTCACAGATTTGTGCAACCATTATGACAATTATTTTAGAACATTTTCATCCTCCCAGCAGAACCCTTCATTGTTCCTTAATGATCACTTCTCATTTTTCTCGAACTCCTTTGTTCTAGGCAAAGAGCAGTCTACCTTCCATCTGCTTATATTTCATACAAGTGGATTCATACAGTATGTGGTCTTTTGTGATTGGCTTCTTTTACTGAATATAGTGTTTTCAAAGTTAGTTCATGTTGTAGCATGTATCAGTACTTAATTCCTTTTTATGGCTGTGTATTAATCAGAATTCTCTGAGAAACAGGACCAAAAGAAGGTTTGTTATGAGAGATTGGCTCATGCAATATAAGAGAAGTCCTATGACCTGCCAGATGCAAGCTGGAGACTCAGGAAAGATGTTGGTATAATTCAGTCTGAGTCCAAAGGCCTTAAAATTAGAGATGCTGATGGTGTAAACCCCAGTCTGAGGGCAGGAGATCATGAGATGTTCCAGCTCAGGGAGTGAGGCAGAAAAAAAGAAGGAAGGCAGATTTCTTCTTTTTCCCACTTTGTTCTAGTCATCATTCAATCAATGGATTGGATGATGCCCACCCACACTGTGGGTGGCAATCTACTTTACTGAGTCTGCCAATTTGAATGCTAATATTTTCTGGAAACACCCTCACAGACATACCTAAAAATAATATTTAATCTGGGTACCTTGTGGCAGTCAAGTTAACATAAAATTGACCATCACAGGCTTAATAATATGTCCCAGTATGTTGATACACCACATTTAATATATCCACTCATTAGTTAATGGATGTTCTGTTTTTCCAACCTTTTAGATATTATAAATAATGCTGTTATGAATGTTCATGTTCAAGTTTTTGTGTGGACATATGTTTCAATTTCTGCAGTTGTGGGGTGGAGTTTTCTATATAAGTTGATTACTAGTTGTTATATCATGTTGTTAAAGTCCTCTATTTCCTTATTGATCATCTGCCTCGTTGCTTTATCCATTATTGATAGTGGGATATTGAAGTCTCCAGCTATTACTGTAGAATTGATGTTACAGACTGGATGTTTGTGTCTCCCTCACATTTATATTTTGAAGCCATAGCCTTCCCTCCCATCCCCCACAGTGTGGCTCTATTTGGAGATAGGGCCTCTAAGGAAGTAAGTAAGGTTAAATGAGGGAATAATGGCAAGGCCCTAGTCAAAAGGATTAGTGTCTTTATAAGAAAGGACATTGGAGAGCTCTCTCTCTTTGCATGTACACAAAGAAGAAGTTGTGTGAGCAAATAATGAGATGGCGGTTGCCTATAAACCAAGAGAAAAAGCCCTGGAATGAAACTTCTTTTGTTGGCACCTTGATCTTGGACTTTCCAGCCTCCAGAACTGTGAGAAATAACTTTCTACAGTTTAAGCCACCCAGTCTAGGGTATTTGTTATAGTAGCCTGAGCAGACTAATACAACTATTCTCCCTTTAATTCTGTTTGTTTTGCTTCATGTATTTTGGGCCTCTGTTGTTAGACACACATATGTTTATAACTAGTATTTTCAAGATGGATTGACACCTTTATCAATATATAATATCCTTCTTTGTCTCTGGTAACAGTTTTGTCTTAAAGTCTATTTTGTATGGTATTACTATAGCTAGTTGTATTTGGTAGTATTTGCATGAAATATCTTTTTCATCCTTTTACTTTCAATTTTCTTGTGTCTTTGGATTTAAAGTAAGTCTCTTGTAGTCAGCAGATAGTTTGATGATATTCTTTTTTTTTAAATTCATTTTGCCAATCTCTGCTTTTTAATTGGAGAGCTTAATCTATTTACACTTAAAGTAATTACTGGGAGGAAAGACTTCTGTCATTTTGTTCTGTTTTTTATATGCCTTATTTTGTTTTTGTTCCTCAATTCTCCTACTATTGTCTTCTTTTATGATTAGTTGATATTTTTTCCTAGTGTGCTATTTTGGTTTGCTTCCTTTTTCTTTTTCTGTATATATTTTTATGTTTTTTTCTTTAGTGCTTTCCTGGGGGATTACAATTAAATATTATTAAATCTATACTAAACATCTAGACTAAATATTAGTTTAGATTCAACAGTATACAAAAACTTGGCTCCTCTGCAGATCATCCCCTTCCATTTATGTTGTAATTGTCACTAATTATTACATCTTAATATGCTGAGTGCCCATCAACATAGATTTATACTTATTGTTTTACACATTGTCTTTTAAATTTTACAGAACATGAGAGATTGCAAATGAAAAATCCAAAAGTACTGACTTTTATATTTACCTATATAGCTACTTTTACCATTGTTTTTAAATTTCTTCAGATACCTTCAAGTCTAGTATCTTTTAATTTTAGACTGAGTAATTTCCTTTAGTATTTGTTGTTGGATAGAATTACTAGTGACCAATTCCCTCCATTTTTGTTTCTCTAGGAGTGTCTTAATTTCTTTTTCATTTTTTAGGGGATAGTTTTGCTCAATATAGAATTTTTGGTTGACAGTTTTTCTCTCAGCACTTCAAATGTCATTCTACTGCCTCTGGCTACCATGGTTTCTAAAAGGACATCAGCTGTTAATTTTATTGAGGAACGTTTGTCTGTAATGAGTTGCTCCTCTTTTGCTGCTTTCAAGAGTCCTTGTTTTTGCTTTTTGGCAACTTGACCATAGTGTGGCTTGATGTGGATGTCTTTGATTTTCCTGCTTGGAATTCACTGAAATTGTAGGATTCATAAATTCACATCTTTCATCAAATTTGGAAAGTTTTCAGCCATTATTTCTTTAAATATTATTTCTGTTTCTTTCTGTCACCTCTCTCTTTTTCCTTGGAGATACCCATTATGCATATGTTGGTATGCTTGATGGGATCCCACATTATCAGACGGTTCATTTTTTTTTTTTTTGGATCCAAGTTCTTTATCAGATACATGTTTTGCAAAGTTCCTCCCAGTCTGTGGGTTATCTTTTTATTCTCTTCTGCAGAGCAGAAGTTTTAAATTTTAATGAAACTCAAATTATTAGTTTTTCTTTCATGGATTGTGTTTTTATTGTTTTGGTTTTGGTGAGCAAGGATTTCTGTCCACAGTTCATTGTTGAAAAAATGACATTGAAGTGACCTGTTCAGGGTCAGTCAGTGTTTGTGCAGGAGCCAAACTCCAACCCTGTTTTCTCATCCTGGGCATTCTTGACGACATAAGAGGTGGCAGGAATGGTGTATGTGTGTGTGTGTATGTACTCATGTGTGCATGCATACAAATATATAGGTGTATAAGCATTTGATGTTGAGAAGCAAGCAGGCTGTTGAATGAAAAACAATTTGTTTGAACAATGAGATACAATGTCTTACTAGACTAAAAACATTTAAAAAGTTGACACTATAAGATATTTGCTAGGATGGGGAGCAACTGGAATTCTCACACACTTCTGGGGGAAAGTAAAATGGTATAGTCACTTTGGAAAATAATTTTGTAATTTCTTATATAGTTAAACATACATTTCCCACATTACCCAACACCATCTTGGGACTGTTAGGTAGGTCCCAAGAGAAATAAAAATTTCAGACTAAGACCTGTGCAAAAATCTTCATGAAAGCTTTTTATGCATAATACCAGAAAATTGGAGACATTCCAAATGTCCACCAAGAGATGGTTGGATAAACAAAGTGGTATTTTCATACAATGCAATACTACCCAATAAAAATGAAAGAACTGCTTGGTCCAAACAGCAAAGTGGATAACTCTCAAGAACTTCTATGGAGTGAAAGAAGCCAGACACAAAAGAGTACATACTTATGAGTCCATTTATATGAAATTCTACGTCAGACAAACTTAAGCTCGGACTACAGACAGCAGATCATTGGTTGACTGGGGAAAGGTGGATTGATTAAAAAGAAGCA